CATTAATGATCATCCCAAACATGCTGTTTTCTGTCATAAATGTATTTATTTTTCCGGAAAATTCTGTTCACATGTGATTAAAATCAAAGAAAATGCAGTAGTTTTGAGGTAAAACTGTTAGTAAGTTATATGACTTTGTTAGCTACTTTACAATGTGTAGAGAGAAGGAAACATCAATCCCCACTTACTGCTTTTAAGCTAAAAAGAAAACAATGATTACGAAAAGCAAAACTCCTTTAACTCTTGATTTAACTCTAAAACTCAGAATAAAACTTTTATTCTCTGGCTTTTAAATCCAAATTAGTTTTGACTATTTTTCTTAGTGCTACTTCTTCTTCGGGTTTTCTCTTTTTTTTTTCCTTCATTAAATTCTGTCATTTTGTTCTACATTTTTGTGTCATTTGATTATTTTATATATAGAGCTTGTCTTTAAATGTGCCATAGAAATAAATTTGCCTTTGACTATCAAAATCTTTATGTTTGGGTGTCTCTTGACACAAGTTGCTTTATCTTCATTCTGGGATGTAGATCGTTGATCTTCATTACAGCCATTGTTTTCTTAAACCTACACTGCCTCATTTACTCCCATGTGATGCATTTGCACACACACACACACACACATGCAGCATATACCTAATCATGATATACAGCACTTACAGCTTGCAACAAAAGCATCAGTAACATCATTATTCTTACAAGGTTCTTACTCAAGTGGTGTAAGCCAGTGATTTGTAGGGTTGCTTAAAAGCTTTAAGAAGTCAGGTTAAGTGAATGTCAGGCCCTTGAACAATAAACAGACTACACCCTGTGTATTGTCCTTTCTTCTTATCAGCTGTTTACTTGAGTGTGTGCAGATCACCGGACTTTTAAAAGTAAAACATTCTTCCTGCTCTTTGTTGTCACCCACCTTCCCACTCGTGTAGCGTAAGTACAAGACAGGAGTCAGAACACCGAAACAACTATACTTCAAAAGTCTTTAGGAATACTGTAAGTTCTTGTAATGTGGTCATAATGATGCTTTGGAAAAAATAATAAAATGTATTATTTCAACATTTCTGTTTTCTTTATACTTCCTGTACAAGTACTTCCTGTATACTTTCTGTACAAAAAGACAGCATGACTGTCTATGTCTTGATTGCTTTCTCTATCTGTATATGATGATAGCCCTGTTTTTAATTTTACCCGTGTTTGAAATTAGCCTCAGGCCAAGAAAAACTGTGATCTGTTATGTTGTGCGACTCTCTGGCAGTTATATATATTGAATCAGCCCTTATGCTGTCTCATATGATGAAGGAATAACAGGGAGATGATAATAGCAACGATATATATAGAAAGAGAGAAATGAACAATCAGTGTATTATGGTTGCTGACACTCAAAGCGTTCTGCCATCTTCAAGCGCACACTATGTGACACTGACGGTAATGGTCTTTTAACAAAACAGCTACTTGGGAGAACAGGATGTACTGGACGAGGTAAGAGTGCTTGATCATTGGTACAAACATATTAACATCCTGCACACATGTCATATAAGTATAGGAACAATGTATGGTGTGAAAGAGCATACAGGTTGCTTGTGAATACGATTTCTTACAACAACATATTAAGAAATGTTTAACAAAGAAGCATAAGACCCACATCAGAGACTTTATTAGGTACAACTTGTACCAGGTTGGACCTAATTTTGCCTTCATAACTACCCTATTTATTTGTGGCATAGATTTTAACAAGGTGTTGGAAACATTCCTGAGATGTTGGTTCATTGTGACATGACTGCATCACACAGTTGCTGCAGATTTGCTAGCTGCACCTTCATGATATGAATCTTCTGTTACACCTCATCCCAGAGGGGCTCTATTGGATTGGGATCTGATGACTGTGGAGGCCATTTGAGTATAGTGAACTCGCTGTTATGTTCAAGAAACCTGTTGGAGATAACTTGAACTTTGTGACGTGGTGCATTAACCTGCTGGAAGCAGCCATCAGAAGATGGATACACTTTAGTCATAAAGGGATGACCACGGTCAGCAACAATGCTCAGGCAGACTGTGGGGTTTAAACCATCAGTTGGTATTAAGGGACCCAAGTGTGCTAAGAAAATAGCATTACCCTACCAGGATGAACCACTGATAGAAGTCAGGATGGATCCATGCTTTGATATTGTTTATACAAATTTTTGGCCCCACTATCCGAACTCTGCAGCAGAAATGCTTAGAACAGGCAGTGTTTTTCAATCATCTATTGCCCCCTTTTGCTGAATCCATGTGAACTGTAGCCTCAGTTTCCTGTTCTTAGCTGACAGGAGTGAGACGCGTGTTTTCACTGGACATCTTCTTTGTTTCAGTTCATCTCTGCATAGAAATGGTTTTGTGGGAAACTCCCAGTAGATCAGAAATACTCCGAGTCATCTCGAACAAACACCCACGCCATGTTTAAAGTCATTTAAACCAACTTTCTCTGTGCTCCCCGTGTTAAAATGTGTTTACAAAATTGTAATTCCTCTATCTGTGCGTGCTTGCATGCATACATGTGTCTGTGTAGAGGTGAGTGGGTGGGTAGGTGGGGTGGGGGGTGCTGGGAGTTTGACTAACAGTATGGCTGCTCTTTGCATTCATATTGGCAAACTTTATGTGGCAAATATTTTGTATCTACCGACTTCTGTCAGCTTTCCAGCATCTTCTCTCTTGACACCAGTAAAATAAGCAGTGAGCTGTTACCATGCTGGTTCAAGTTTTAAAAATGCAGAAGCCCAGGGGAGAATAAAGTCAAAGCACGCTGCTGACTTTAAAACATAGCGTGAAGACAAATGAAAATTCACCGCCTCAACATATCCTGCTGACATATCCGGTTTTACAATACACAGAAGGTAAATGAACAGATGTAAACCAGCACACAAGCACCGGCAGAAGGAAAACACCACCGTCAGAGGATATGGAAACAGAGATAAGTTAAAATAATACATATTTCTGTATTCATGATAAGAGTCTAAATATCATTTGTGAGGTCAGATGAAAATCTGTAAAAGTATAATAAAAAAAATGCAACTGAAATGAAAAGTAATTTTACTAGCATGAGAACAACTCGGTGTATATAATTTTATTCATTCAACTACTGTGTGAATGTGTAATGAAATCACAAAGCAGGAAGTCAACACTTGAGGGAAGATGAACAACTTTAATAATTGATCAACGCGTTTCAGCTTGTGGCCTTCATCAGGGTCAAGAATGTGTAATGACAAAAGTTTGAATATCAACAAGCATAAAGTAAACACATAAAAGCACTAGATCATCTAAAAAGCCACAACAAGAATGAAAATGAGACCTACACTATACAAGGTCTCGGCAGCTACTGAGTGTGTACTGAAGTCTGATCATTTATGAGACCCCTATAACTCAACCTGAGTTATAGGAGTCTCATAAATGATCATTTCCTTTTTCCTACACACAGCTATAGTAGCATGAGAGTCCAGTGAAATTTATAGGCTTTGTGTTTCCATTGTGATAAACAGGAAACGAATCACATACAATGGATCATGCTTATTAGCATAGCACAAGCAGTTTGCACTTTAATTTGAGTTTATTAACCACACTGTAAAAGACTAAAGTGGGTGAGTTACGTTCCAGCAATTGTGTCAGAATTAACTTTCCTTACCAAACTGTGGCAAAGACATGAGCCTGACCCCAAAAAGCAATCAACACTGGGCAAGCCAAATGTAGGAAAAACGTTTCCCCTCCTAACATGAAAACACGAGATTGCCCTAAATCTGTCAGACAGAAATAAATACAAATGGCTACAGTTCCAGAGTTCATATCCTCTGATAAATGCGATGAGGGTCAGTGCATCCAGGTTGTGACACTACCACCTCCTGGTGGATGAACTACACAGTAAAAGTGCAAAAAATAAAAAATAAGTCCGTGTGGGGGCATGGACTTAAACGTCATTAAATAAATCAGTATGCAATGCATTGTGTGACAAACTGTAAAACACAAACTCGTTTTTTTTTATTATAAACTGTATTATTTTATTGTTTTTTTGTAAAGCACTTTGGTATGCCTAAGGCTTTTAATGTGCTCTATAAATAAAGGTTGTTGTTGTTGTTTTTTCACTCTTCCTTGAGCGCAAACCAGCCAGATGTTAAGAAACGCTGGAAAGCTCGTGATGTTTTAATTTAATAAGAGAGGGGATGGAGGGCTCATGAACAATGTAGTACAATAATACTCAAATCTGACTGCAATCCCCGTTCCCTCTGGAGACAGAGGAAGAGAAGGTCAGAGTGCAGCGCTGGACCAACTGGCCAGTGTGATTGGAGATACAGAGCGGGCAGTGTCTGTCGATAAGCAGACTTAAAAAGAAACGCGATGAGCTGTACAGACATGAAACCCGCAGGTCTGAGGTCAGAACCAGTGTCACCGTTACATAATTTGTTTACCGAAAGACATCAACCGTCAAATGTACTTCTCTTTGTGCAGTGGACAGACTTTGGGTCACAATTCTTTGATAAAAAAAAAAAAGAAGAAGAATCTGGATCCATCCAAAGAGCGCTTGTTTGATTATCTATCAGGCTCAGCTATCATTATATGTACAGATTCTTATTATTATGCATTATTATTGTGAAAGCTGCTACTTGGAATAATGACAGAAACTAACCATTGTGCAAACAATCCAAGTTAATGAATACCAATGGCTTTATTAAAGCGAAGTAATTTAAAGAGGGAGTATCGTGGTCTACTGAAAATATTATTAATCCATCCCCATCAGCCCCGATGACTCTTACGCAGACAAACACAACAGAGCGGACTAATAACTAATTAAATTTGACGATGTGAAATAAAGCATATTTGCCACAACTTTGACTTCAGTGTCTCAGTGACTTATTATAATACATTTTGCAAAAACAGCAGATATTTCGCACAGTTTTATTTCCAGAAATGTAAAACGGTGCATGAGTTGACAAATACCACAACATCCCAAACTTTGAGCTGTTCAAAAAAGCAGAACTTACCAAAGCAAGAGTTGATGAAGCCGTACCAGCTGCAGCCGCTGCGCCCCAGCAGCCACTTTCCGCGGATGCTGGAGGCGAAGCTGAGAGTGGTGCCGAACAAACACACCAGCATGTCGCTCACGCTGATGTTCAGCAGCAGCATGTTCACCGGTGTCCGCAGCTTTTTGAATTTGCAAAACAGCAGCAACACAATGAAGTTGTTCAGGAAGCCGAAAGTCATGATGAAGCCCAGCACCACGGACAGCACCACAAAGCCCGCCGGAGAGAGCTTCGCCGAGCCCGCCGGCGCGTCCAGCAAATCTCGGTCATCGCTCAGGTTGAAGCTGTAATTCAGACCAGCCTGACCAGAAAACATGCCGCCGTCCATTCAGTCCATCAGTTTCTCTTCACTCTGGAGCTTGCTTCACTCGGCAGCGCTGGTCACATCGCGCATCTGTAAAGTTTGCGCGTGTAGCTTCCATCTTACTCCATGCTCATGTGCAACAAATGCGTATTCCTCCGCTGATCCTGAGAGCGATCACCTGGCTGCCGACTCTTAGAGAACTGGCAGGAATGTTAAAAAATACATTGTAATCAAAAAGTGTCACCTTAACGTGACTTTAACGCAACGCCTCCCCCGCTTTCACCGCGTCTCTCCGCGAACCAGCTTGACAGTACGCGCTATTACATATAATTTGGGCAATCTAACAAAATTCATCCCAGTTATCAAGTTACTTTCCACAGCAGTTTATTTCTCTCGTCTTCAAGTTACCACTTTTAGACTGGCTGTAATCCGCGCTCGTAGCGGAGACTCTTGTGCCACCAGTGGTGTTATGCGATTTGGGCTCTGCGCCAGGACTTTTAAAGGCAGGGCGACTCTTACATCACAGGGTAGTGGGATGCTTGGATCCACGGGTGGTGGTGGGGGGGTGAGGGGGGCTTTATATGCGTGTCTGTTTGTACATATATCTTTCTGAGGACCTATTTAAGTTTAAATAGGGTGTGCGGAAATTTAACGCAGCTGCTGCTTTTCCGCTGTGGGGTTTAATGTTGAAATTAGGTCTGGGGGTAGTTTAAGGCTTTTATTTATGTCTGTGATGGTCACGTTGAGGGCGGGTCTTGGGCAGGGATGTCAAACTCATTTTACATCGTGGGCCACATACAGCCCCCTATCTTAAGTGGCCCTGGCTTGTGGAAGACCCCTAGCTGCACATTTTACCCCTGAGATATCTCAGTATAAGAAGAGCAATTTCAACATTACATCTCAGTTTTCCTACATCATAAAGATTTTGCTGTAGTAAATGAGCTACAGCTGTCGGTGTGATTCTTTGGGTTTAAATGATAAGAAATGTGTAAACTTACAGAAAAAGATTTAGTGGTTCATTGCTTACACTGTAGTTATAAAGTGGAAAGTTTGTGTTAATTCATGAAAAATCCCCCTTTTTATTTATTACGTTTTTAATTTATTTTTATCCTGGACATTTTATAAACAGAAAAACCACACATTTATATAGTAGATAGTGGGGGAAAAAACAGGAACCACTCTGCCATTTCATTGTTTATCTTTGACTTTATTACTATACAATGAACAACTGTGGGGGAAGGGTTAATCAGTAGGACATGGGACCTGTTTGAGACCCCTGATCTAGGGAATTTTATTTTATTTTACAATTAAATGTCATATTTGGATGGACAACAACTAAGATGTTGCCCTTCATAATTAGGGCAGCAGGCTATTTAAGGGAGGACATAGTTTAGGGATCCAGTTTTTGTAGCTAAGCCTGAGACCACTGCCAAGTGAAGTGCTCTAAATGTTTGCGTTTGATTTTATGAGGGGCATTTGAAGGTTGTGCTGACAAAGAAAAGAAAAAATGAAGCAAAATTTTCTGTTTGGTTCTCACAGTATCTCACAGAATGAAATGCACAGAGTCAGGCAGCAGTTCGGGTGTGATGAACATCTGTATTTTGGAACTTGAATACATGTATTTAAAGGAGACAGAGCTATGTCTCAATGTAAATATGCTAGATTTAGCCAGAAGGCTACTTTTCATCTGAAGCCCGTGACAGGTCAGACAAAAATGATAAATAAGCAATTTAGCACACAATGTACAACAATGTAGTCCAAACAACAAATACATACAATTACAACACATAATAATACAATAACAAACAACAACATTAAACATTAATAATAATATTCCTGTAAGCCTATGTACAGTGTTTAATCCCAGGATAATGTGCTGATGATCAACGTGAGAGCTAGAAGCTAAATGCTGTAACTCACTTTCTACAGAATCCTTTGCATAGATTGAAGATTTGCTGATTTGGACCCAGAATAAGGTTTTAAAAAAGCTGTTCCCCCCACTGAAAGTTAGACTTCCATCTCCATCTTTGCTCATGTGGAACTCTCAGAATTATTCATTCATGGCTGTCTGAAACAACAACGACAACAACAAAAAGGGGGAAAAAAACATCAAAGGTAGAAAGAAAAGCATCTTTGTTGTTGTTTTTTGTGTGTGCTTAGAATGTAAAAGGGGCACACACTCGAAAAGGCCAACAGGAAAATTTTATTTTTCATCCAGTGTTTTCCCCATAAAACTTTCAAGTGGGTTGGTAGACAATGGTCAATGAGCTGTTCACTTCAGGACCTGGGCAAACAGATTATCCTAAGCTGAGTGCTCATATTCTACCCAGTATTCAAGCACGACCAGGATATGAACTGTCTCAGTCTATATTTATCATAGCTTCCTCCTCCAGCAAGCCCTACACCCAGCCTTCATAAGTGGATCTAGATTGCCCACGAGTTAATATATAGTTAAATCAGCCATCAAGCGGGATGAAGTGTGTTATTTTGATGTCACTGTTGAAAATTTGCCTGCAAATCAAATGAATAAGAGTAAAGTAAATCCTCTAAAGTTTTAAGGACATGATAAAAAAAAAGAAAAGAAAAAAGATCTGGTCATTTATTTGACAAAACTTAAGCCAAAATGCATGTAAGAAATTGAGTTATTACCCTTGCTGTTTCCATATGAATTAAGAGGTTAAGTAGCAGCAAGATATTGCTAACAAAATGCACTTGATTTACCTGTATGAAAGCAGAAGTTTTGACAGTTTGCAGGTCTGGAGCATTCAGGTGTTCGTGAACACAATGCCAAGGAAGGAGCAGTAATCTTAGAGTAATCCTTCTCGCAACTGTTTTTTTCCTCATCAGTATGGGAAAGGTTATAAGGTTGCTTCCAAACAATTTGAAGACAATTTTTAAGAGAATTAACAAGAGGAAAATGTTCAAGACAATGTCACAATCACGCTATGATTGGACCTTTCAGCAAATTTACCCTAAGGTCAGACCATGCAATATTCAGAGAAACTGCAAAAAACTCAAAAGCTATAGGTCTGAGACTCATGAAAGCACAATCAAGACAAGAGCAAACCACAAGATTTTTAGAACAATGTCTGTTGGATAAACAAGGCCAAAGTGAAGCTGGCCACAAAGCACAGCACCACATTTGGAGAAAACCATGTACAGCATATCATCACAAACATCTTATCCCCTGTGTGAAGCACAGTGGTAGAGGGGGGTTGATTTGGGTTTGTGTGCAGCCACAGGACCTGGGCACCTTGTACTCTTTGAGTCGACCATAAACTCCTCTCCATACCAGTATACATAGTATTCTAGAGTCAAATGTGAAGCCATCTGTCTGACAGCTAAAGTTTTGTTGAAACTTCTTCATGCATCAGGACAATGAACCCAAGAACAGCAGCAATGTTACAATGTTGCCATAACCCAGCCAAAGTCCAGACTTCCACTTGACTGAAATGCTGTGCTGGGAGAGCTGTAGATAAATGAAATCCCACAAACCACAAAGAATTGAGGGAACACTGGAAAGAAGAGTGAGACAAAATTCATCATGTGAGAGACCGATGAAGCCACACCGAAAAAGCTGCACGGGGAGCATTTTGGCTTAATTTTCATTAAATAAGTAATGACAGTGTTTTGTTGTTCATAATGAGACATTTAATCTGAAACAGCAAATGTCAGCTTCTTTGTAGTGGTAATGGAAATTAAAATAATAACTGTTGGGATATGAAGATATATCACAGACTAGACAATTTATGCCATA